TGGTCTTAAAACCAAGATATATGGTTTATTGGTTTCTAATTGATTGTGCATTGATAATGCAAATCTGCATCAGTAACTTGATGTCATAAATCACATTGTTGTGTATAATTTGATTAGTGGGTAGTAAATGCATATAAGTCGAAGTTTATCTATTTCTTTTATCCTAAGAGGGTAAAAGCGATATCAGGGCCCGTTGATGATTTTATTTGACTTATGTGTCGGGCCCAGTCAGGAATGAATTGATGTGTTCAATTAAGTTCTAAGTAAAATGAATCTGATATTGTGAAACAAGTTGTTGGAAAATAAGTATGACTATGTTCCATGAGATTATCCGCAGAATATCTTGAACAGAGGACTGTATGATCCCTTATCTAAAGGATAGGTTGCTGATAAGATTAGAGTTTGATAGCATCTTTGAGAGATATGATTGCTAATCGAGTTATACTTGCATTTGTGGTTACTAGAGTTATCCAAGTAGGAGACTGTTTGATTAGTGTGTAAGTCTCTAACCATATTTAGTAAGTACTTGACCCGGTTGTGCATGGCCTTTTGGGTTGCATTCACTAAAGCAACTTGACTGGAGAAATAATAGAGAAACAGGTTATTATGATTTATTAATATATTATAAGAATAATATATTAACGGAGAGATCATATTTGTTTAATTAATATTGGTCAATAACTAATTAAGAATTAATTCTATGATCAAATGTAATTAATTGAACTAGAGGGGCTGAATTGTAATTATGTGATAGTTGCAAATTAGGGCATTGGATGCCCCAAGGATGGGGTGGACGAATTCAAGGTGATAAGGCCTTAGAATTCGTCCATGATAAGGATTCAAGGCTTATCTTATGGGCTGCTTGGTGGGCAAGTAACCAGATAAGGATAAGGACTGAAACCCTAATCTCTACCCTATATAAAGACCTGTTAGGCCTTAGAAAATCGGCCACTTGATCCCAAGAAGACTTAGAGCCGATTTTTGCCTCTCCCCCTACCTCTCTCTCTCTCTTGCCTCTCCATTTGCTTGTGTTGTTTGTGAGCCATTAGAGGTACTACACTTGTGGTACTTGCTTCCCAAGACAAGGAGATTGAAGACTAGTGTTGTTATTATCAATATAACAACAAGAGGTATGTAATTCCTTCTACTATATAGATTTCAAAATACCTAGGTGCGTGCTAAGGTTCTTCTTGTGTTCATAATGTTGTGTATCTAATAGTGAAAACATAGATCCAAATCTAGGGTTGTATGCACACATAGGATTGTTTGTATAAAACCCATTAGATACATCTGGGTGGCTCTTGGCGCATAAAAAAGCGAGACTTATGAGCATCCTCCAGCACTATCTGTCTGATCCCTGTGGAAACAGGTACCGAAACCAGAACACACCGGGTCAATAAACCTCGACTATCCATGAAAACCATATTGATCTCCGCCCTAATCCTTTCTTGTTTGTAGTTCTGTTTACAAACTCCCTCTGTCTGTTCCTCTCTAATCAATCCCAAAAGCGAAGATGTAACAACCTGATTTTCAATACCAAAAATTTTATTTTTATATAACGATTTATAAAAAAAAATTATATTGAAAAGTCATCAAGTCACTTCATTTCATAAAACCATAGCCTTATGTCTCAAAACCATATCATGAAATAGTAACAATGTCCGAGTACAATCCCAAGAATTTCATAATGTAGAAATCATGTGTGTGTGAGGAATTGCTACCATGCCAGGCCCTTCCCCTTCACTGAAAAGGTACCTGAAAAACAAAACCAAAAACTCTAAGTACATAGTTTATAGAGTTCCTCCATAATACCACATACCACATAATCAATGTACGATCAGGCAATTCTAGGGTGTCAACCTACCCTGTCTGGCAATTTTTGGGTGTCAACCTACCATGTCTCGCAATTCTATGGTGCCTACCTACCCTTTCTAGAAATTCTAGGGTGCCAACCTACCTTGTTTGGCAATTTTGCGGTGCCCGACCTACACTCCGGTTTATCTCAACCAGCTACGGGGACTATTTCACCCCTACTATTATCATATAATAACATAGCATAAACATACTGCCAGGAATATCTTGGATTCCCAACCTACCCTGGCGGTCCTCACAACCGATAATGGGGTCTATCCACCCCTCCAACCACTATCACATAATATCATAGCATAACATACTATCAGACATATCTGGGTGCCCGACCTACCCTGTCGGTCCTTATAGCCGATATTGGGGTCTATCAACCCCTCATACTAATATCACATAATTTCATAGCATACTAACACATAAATCATAACAAATAGTGGCATACAAGACAATTATCACACAGACAATTATCTTAACTATAATCAACTACTAGTGGGTTGGCATTGGTGCCTTCGACCCACGTCTACTTGAAGGTAACTCACCTCAATATTGTGTAGTGTCTGAACTGTCCTCGGTGTTGGGCTCAATTCCTCTCAAGCTCCTACACATAACAATCTTCCTTAATTACTTTTTCATACTCCTAACCCTTTCAAGGGTCAACTCGGTAAAAGTCAAGGTCAACACCCTGATCAAAGTCAACTTTTGGTCAAAGTCAACATTTGGTTGACTCAGCTCACTGAGTTGGTCCACCACCTCGTCGAGTTCCATAATCCTCACAATACTAGAACTCCAATCCTACCCATCGAGTCTTTCGAGAAGTCATCAAGTTCTCCTTCATACAAAATCAGGAGCTTTTGTTCATGACTTGTCGAGTTCATCCTTGAACTCATAGAGTCCTACTTCATAATTGAGATGTTTAGCCCTTGACTCACCAAGTTCTTCCTTGAACTCATCGAGTTCTTTGACCTTCGATTCCATAATCACATCCCTCTTGCTAACTCCTCTTCTAGACTCAACCAGATTGCTCAGAAACAGAAAAGGTTGGGGAACCATGACCCGACTCGCTGAGTCCTATAAACGACTCGTCGAGTCCCCCAAAGTCCAAGTCCATCCATTCGATTTCAGTCTATTACAGCCAAAGCATAGATATGACCTCCTAGGGTCGATATAACGCGTAAAGTTACAAACTTTACGTGCATGCATGGGTGTTATGAAGCTAGAACACCAAAACCAAGCTACAAAGGAATTCTAATGCATGGGATAGGGCCATAGCTCAATAAATGTGGCAATTTTAAGCTTTCTGAGCTCAAATGATTCCATATCTGAAGCCATTACACTAATATGAACTCAAATCCCGAAATTGAATTAGAAATGGCCCAAAAATAACAATATGCAAGCTCTAAAGAAGATCTAAGTGATGGGAAGCCAAGTTATAAGCTTTATACCTCAAAGAATCTGGAAAATACAACCCAAGCTCAGGATCTACTTCCTTCCTCTTGACACTACTAGAAAATAGCCCTTTAATGACGCGCAAACAATGACACTCGCTGATAAAGGACGCGCATTTGTATGTGCCCTAAAAAATAATGTCAATTTTGTAAAATTTGAAGGATAGTAGACACGCATTTATGCGTGCCCTAAAATTAGTGTTAGAAAAGAAAAAAAAAAGAAATGCGGAGGGTGCCTTTCATAAAATGTGCGTCCTCTAAATGTGTTGCTTTATAATTTTAATGAAACACGCGTTTTTAAGGCGGGATTTCACCCACCTATTGAATCCCAAAAATTAAACCCCCCGCCTCTTCCAACTAGCAAGAAAAAGCCCTAGGGCCTTCGTCTTCATGGCCGCCGCTTCAGAGAACGATACTGTTGATATCTCTACCGTAACAACAACCACCATCAATATATCTAGAAGCACCAGATCGTGCCATTACACCTCAAACCATCTTCCCTGCAAACCATCGACTGCTATCTCACTTCACCTTTCTTCATCTAACAGAGCAGAAGGAAGAGGGAGATGGCGAACATAAAAGGGTCGAATAACAAAATCACATGAACCGATATTGATATTAATTCTAGGGCTTTTTTTAAGACTCAAAACACTCGCTCACTCAGTGCTCTATAGCATCGATCCGACGACCTGGCCTCACCTTCCGGCAATCCCTTGCTCACTTCTGCTCATTGACGATCTCATGCTCACCTAACCTCAAATTCCTTTGTTTCAATCTTTTGCAGAAAGCCCAAATACATGCTCGCCCCGTTTTTGACGCTCAGAAACGATCAAGGGAAAGCGCCTTGGTATGTGAGAAGATGTATTTTGGGAAATAGGGGATTTTGGTTCTACGAGTTCTTATAACCCTAGGAATCAAGAACCCTGTATTCTCACACCGGATTCATAGTTGAAGTCTACCGGAGACTCGGAGAGGAAAGTGTACGGATGAGCCCAATGGGTCGGGGAATAGCTGAGGAAGCGCTAGTCCTTCTTCGTAAAAGACTAAGTGATCTCAATTTCACCTTCTCCCTCTTCTCCTATTGTCCCGACAGCAACTACAGGTTCGATTGATGCTTATTCGAATTTTCTATATATCTTCTAATTATATATACGTGAATATTATAATCCATTTTTTTTTCTTGTCCTCCATTGTGAAGTATTTAAGCTCTGAACAAATTTCAGCAAGTTGAAATTTATCTATCAAGTTTGATAACTGAGGCTGTAACATATTAGCCTCTTTTATTAGGGTTTCAATGAAAGATGAATAAGATTCAGAAGTATCACAAAGCTGAAATGCAGCACGAGCTCCTTCAATATCTCCTGTTTTCTATTTCTATACACATTATTTTTTAAAATTGGTAAGCAATGTGGTTTTTGTTGTTTTTGGGCAATCTGTTACACTGTTTCTTTTGCATTGACTTGGGTATCTCCTCTTCAATTGCTATCTATATAAGTGTGTGTTTGTTTATTTACTTAATTTTGTTATTAGGTAAGAGCAAGGGAAGCAAAGCTTAATCTGGGTTGTGGAGAAGGAGAAGGGAATATGCTTGAAGGGCGGGACATCCATATACATTTCCCAGCAGGAGCAGCTCCAAAAGATGCTTCATCTGTATCCCACTTTGAAATAATAGCAAATTAGCAAACATATATGCAGAAACAACGAAGTGTTTTTGTAAGTATAATGTATTGACTACATTTTGTTGATTTTAGACTCTTTGTATTTGCAACATCCATAAATTTGTACTTAAATCCAAAGGTTCAATCAATGAAGTTAATCAAATTGCACAGGTTGATGATCCACGTGTGGTGCTAATCAAGCTTGCAGACCGTCTACACAACATGAGAACCATGTATGACTTGTTTCCATATCTACCATGAATCTTTGCATTGCATGATCCCGACAAGAAAAATATTTCTGATAATTCCATTTCAAACTCGAGTGATTTTAATTTCACTGTTACTTCTCTTGTTCATTGGTTGGTAAAGGTCTTGGAAAGTAGAGAAAATTCATTCTTTCTTTTTGTCAAGGGAGGTTTAACACTCTATTCAATAAGTTATTCACTCACTGCAATGCTTTAACTTACAGTTTACACTCTCTTGCTTTCAGTTATGCTCTACCTTCGGGCAAGGCTAAAGCTGTAGCACAGGATACTTTGGTCATTTGGTGCTCTCTTGCTTCCAGATTGGGCCATTGGGCTTTAAAAGCTGAACTTGAAGACCTTTGTTTTGCTGTTCTTCAGGTCAGTGGTTTCTACACTATAAAGCTAATATAGTGATGAATCATGAATGTGTTCTAATGCATGATATTTATCTCAATTGTTCATTCTACGCAACTAATGATCGAATCATATGTTGCATGTGCTAAAATAAGATTCCAACTAATACTTGTAGTGTGTGCAGCCTCAGATCTTCCAGCAAATGCGATCTGACCTGGCCTCCTTGTGGACACCCAGCAACAGCAGTAGCAGGGTAGGCAACCTGAGAAGACTATCAGCCAAAAGTAGCTCAAATCCTGAGTATGAAGCATCAACAGAAGATGTCGTAGTCAGCATGAAGGTAATTCCCCCCTCATTTCTTCCCCTTATATATATATACACTACTAGGTGTTTGACTTTCCATTAGATATATTTAATTAGGATATGAATTGGTGACTCCTTTTTTCAACCCACAGGATCTTTTGCAGGCTGTTATTCCATTTGATCTCCTGCTTGATCGAAGAAAACGTATTAAATATATTCAAGATCCAGGGTCATGCTCAGAGGTCCAAACAAAACCAAAGGGTCGTGAGGGATGTTGGGATTGCCCTAGCATCTCTGGTCGTTTGTGAGGAAGAACTAGAACGCGAGTTGTTTATATCAACCTCGTAAGATCATGTGAGATAGATCTTCAGCCTTCAGTCTTGTTTACCCTGCCTTGACTCTGGTGTGCTTGTCATTCTTACCTGTGCAGCTATGTTCCTGGAATGGAGGTAACCTTATCTAGCCGCCTTAAAAGTTTTTTACAGCATCTATAGTAAGGTAGGTATAAGTGATCTCCATAAATAATCTTAGAAAGAATACATGATTCAGTTATGTAGATGATTATGCTAATATTTCTCTCAGATGAATCGTAAAGATGTGAGCATTGATAAAGTATATGATGCACGTGCACTGAGAGTAATTGTTGGAGATAAAAGTGGAACTTTAAATGGACAAACTGTCGAGTGTTGCTACAGTCTTCTAAATATCATACACAAGTTTATACTTTATATAAGTAGCATAAAATGGATAACTACATGCTAAAACTTATTATGCCCAGACAAGAAGAAAAAAAAATTCTTAATAAGTGACAGATGTGTAATATAAATAAAAGTTGTTTGGTTCATCTTCTGCAGGCTTTGGACACCAATTGATGGCGAGTTTGACGATTACATTGTCAATCCAAAGTCAGGCGGATATCAGGTAAATATCTATCTCACTATACTTTTTTGTATGCTGCTGATATTAGGTATACCTTTTCATATTTGTGTGAGTAATGCATTCTGTTTCCTTCTTATCTCTTATTTTTGTCAATGCCCACAAATTCTGACTCTCTTTTTATACGGTCTCTGCATACTGCAGTGCATGGTCCAGAAAACTCACCCTTGGAAGTCTAAATAAGAACGCAGGTATACAATATATATATATATATAACAATTTTTTTTTAATAGAGCATGCATGAATATGTTGAGCATGGAGTTGCTGCCCATTAGCTTTACAAAGAAGCTGGTAATAAGTTGTCTGCGAAGAGCAATGTAATTGGTTCGGAGATTACATCATCCTCATATCTCTCGAATGACATGGAAGATAAAAGTCCAGTTGAAGATGATGTGTTTCACAAATAGAGGTCTCAAAAACCAGGAGATCTGGTCCTTAGAGTTGAAGGAAGCCATTTGTTTGCTGCAGTAATTGTCAGGTATTTAAAATCATGTTTCTTTTTTTAATTAATGCTTGACATGGTTTGATGACACCTGCTGCAATTCATAGTGGATGATGATGGAAGGGATCTGCTTGTGGCTGCGAGCTTCGTACTCGCTGCTTCTGAAGCAGTTGCGGACATAAGATCTTCTTCTCAAAGAAAGTGGTGGGAAGCTTATGCAAGATTGTACAAGAAGGTTGATATAAACGTCTCCCCAGATGTGGTGGTGAGGGTGTTACAGAGAGGGGGGGGGGGAGAATGAATTCAGATGTAAACGTCTCCCCAGGTGTGGTGGCTGTATCTGTTCTTGTCATCCTTCTCATAAGGTAATTAATTCAAATTTGCATGGGTATAATTGTCATTTCACCTCTCATTCTTGCTTTTAAAATGGTAAATTTTGTTTGTTAGGTTTTTTACCGGACACAAAAAGGACGATAAGGATCAAGTGGTATTTATTGCTGGGAAAACTAGTCTTGGGGATGCTGTTGATGGAGCAATCAAAATTTTCACTATTGAAGAATGTATTTAGCAACTAGTATTTACTTCATGTATTTTTATTAAGTTTCCTTTTTTACCATTCTTCTAATTTGATGAATCTTTAGGTCATGATTGTTGTTGTTGCGGTTCTAGAAGGACTTCCATTAGTTGTCACATTAACGTAAGTTGAACATTTTCTTATAATTATTAATCTAGTTCTTTTAAATGAGTTTCTGATTAGTAAAATATAAATCATGTTGCTCATAATTACAGGCTGGCATACTCGATGCGAAAAATGATGTCGGATAAAGCGTTGGTAAGTTTTATAATTTTGTTTACTATAAATCTCTCAGGGGCATTTTGGTAATTTTTCACGTGCAGGTTCGGAGGCTATCTGCTTGTGAAACAATGGGTTGTTATATATTTGTTGATTAATTAGAGTTGATTAATGAAGTTATATACGTTGCATGTGAATCGATACCAATCAGGTTGTTTTTGAGCCCATATGAACTAACACCAACGCATAAGAATATTAAGATGAAATTTTGTTGATTATAAGAAGATGAAATTTTTGTGC